GATAAGCACAAGGATGGCCACTCAGACATGGGATCAAACTGGCCCCAAGTTCAGCAGTGTAAGGGGCCTTTCTGAGGGGATCGGACGTCTCTGGACACAGACCTTAAGACCAGGAGGCAGAATAGCCGGGAGTCCTGAGCCCCTCCTGAATTCTTCAGCCTTTAGCTGGATCAGCACTCATTCTCCTCTGCGGAGGCACTAACCCTGAAGAGGGCAGTGTAGGGGCTCTAGTCAGGCTTGGGGTCGGAATTGGGAAGAGACCAGTTCTCCCTTCCTGGCCCCAGGCCTCCCAGTTGTCTCTTCCCCTCAGGACCTTGCCACACTGCTGGAGCAGATTGGGTGTCTGAAGTACCTGCAAGTGTTTGAGGAGCAGGATGTGGACCTTCGTATCTTCCTGACCCTCACCGAGAGTGACCTGAAGGAAATTGGCATCACGTGAGTCCCCTAGTGCCGTCCCCCACCCCCAATCATCTCAGCCATCCTTCCAGCCTGTCCTCCAGCAGGTAGGATGAGCAGCCTGTCTAGACAAGAGGCTTTCTTCCAAGTTGGCCTTTGTGCCCACATAGCTCCAAGATGGCTTTGCCTGCTGTGTGCTGGACCTTTGGACTCTGTTTTTGTCAGTTCACTTTTTGGTGGTTTTTAGTTTTTTCCTGTCACAGTTTCTAGAGTTAGTATTTTATAGCACAGGTTTCTTCTTTCCTAAACGCTTGTATATAAAATCTTTTAATATAAAGTCCAAACCATGCAATATGTCTTTTGTCCCAAACATTCCATGTACAAAACTGTAGTTTGTCTTGGCTGTAACTCCTCAGAGGTGACTCTCACACTTGAAGTGCTCTCCTCTAGGTGGCTCTGGTGCAGCAGGTGACGCAGGGCTTCCTCAGTGTTTGCCTATCTGGGAATGTCTGAAACTCTCCTGCACTGTAGAAGGACAGTTTTGCCAGGTAAAGGTTTCTTGGTGACAGCTGTTTGCTTTGGCACTCTGGCTGCCTCAGCCTTCCAGAGTTTTGAATGTCTAGGTACTTTTACTGAGGATCCCTGCATGGAACAGGCTGCTTTTTTTTGCTCCAGTATTCTGTATGTCTTTAGTTTGGCTGTGTGTCCTGGTATCCATCATCTGTGAAGCTCATTCACAGATGTTCATGTCTTTCATCAGTTGTGGAAGTTTCCAGCTGCTAGCTCTTCAGACCATTCTTTGCCCCTCTGCCTCCCTGAGGTACTCACAGGAGAGACCTGGCCCCCACGTGGTCTCAAGCTGTCCTTGTGGATTTCAGTCTCATCCACTGTGCTCCAGTTTGCTGGTCCCTCCTTTGCCTGCCTTGGGCTGCACCTGCCTGTTTAGGCTTTACTTCACTTACCATACTTCTTTGCTTATGTTTACATTTTTCTCTGTTGTATTTCCATTTTGTATTGAGTGTTTCCACACCGTCTTTTAGGTCTTTGATTATCTTTAAGATGGTGTTTCAAGGCCTTTGTCTAGCAGATCTGCTGCAGAGCTTTCTTGGAACTTCTGTGGTTGGTTTTCCTCTAAACGAACCATATTCTACCTGTCTTTTATTACTGGAAATGGATATTTAGTAAGTATCAAAGTCAGGACCTCCCCTCTCCCTGGGATTTGCAGGTTTGGTTTTGTTTTGAACTTGTTGTTGTTGGCTGCCTCTGTGCAGAGGACTAGCAGAAGTTGAAGCCTATAGGTCCCTCAGAGCTTGCACCTTTCCCTAGGCACATGTCATGACGCTAACTTTCCACCCATCTGTAGTTACTTTGAGACAAGCCGCTTTTATGTAGTCAAGGGTGATCCTGGACTCTTGTACCCACCTTCCAAGTGCACAATGTTCTAGCATGCAGGTGCTTTTCATGTCCTAGTTGTTATTGTCTGGCTCCTACACAGGAGAGTGGAGAAAGGCGCTGCCCCTTAGACCTACTGCTCATCCCCTACCTCACCTTTTCAGCTAGAGTGAGTGAGTGTGGTTGATGGCAGTGGCCCTCAGTAACCACTATACTTGAATCCACTATACTTGTATTCCATGCTTGCTGCGGGGAGAACAGGGTCTGCCTTGCCTACCCTGCTTCTTGCATGCTGGGTCTGGGTGGGTGCTGCTATGCAGAGCTGAGCTTAGACTAAGCTCGCTGTACTCACAGTCAAAGCCTGCAGTGACCTCCAGGCTGCCAGGTGGCCCATACAGATTCTGCCAGTGCATTTGTCTTGGAGAGGAGAGATTCCTGGAGATCTCCCTTAAGAGCACAGACATAGTTGTCCAAGCCTGGAGCCAGTGATGGTGGAGGCTTTTTGGACACTCTTGTTTCTGTCCTCAGCCCCAGGATCTTCTGCAACCTCCTTCCTTCAGAGTTAGGTATTCCCTAGCAACTGGCTGTGGTGGCAGGTTTGTACCAAGGTCCACGCACATGACAGAAGCTGACGTTCACCTTCTGATTCATTCCTTCAGGTTGTTTGGGCCTAAAAGGAAGATGACCTCTGCCATTGCCCGCTGGCACAGTAGTGCCCGCCCTCCTAGTGATGCACTGGAGCTGGCCTATGCTGACCGGCTAGAGGCCGAGATGCAGGAGCTCGCCATCCAGCTGCACAAAGTGAGTGGAGAGGTCCAGGGGGGCTGTGGACACAGGAGGCAGGATACAGCTACAGAGTTACACTTTTATAGCAGAGGAGATAGTGTCAGCAGGGGACTAGAGACAGGAAACTTGAAGGGGGCGGATGGAACAGTCAAAAGTCAAATGAATGTAGGAGGGAAGAGCAAGTAGCCCACGCAGAACCTCGAATCTGTAGGATGGAGCCAAAGGAGCAGTTCCTAGAATGGGCTGCAGAGAAGCAGATAGGCATCCTAACCAACTTGGCCGCCCTCTGGGGGATCAGCAAACGTTGGGTCTTGGCCCCCGGCCCCCTGGCTTAGGCCCTCTAGCCTGGTATTTGCCTGCAGTGCTGTGAGGAGGCAGAGGCTCTCCGTGGCCAGGTGTCCCAAGAGCAGGAATTGCGGGCTGTAGTAGAGAGCTGCCTCCTGGAACAGGAGAGTGCCCGAAAGGACATCTATGCCCAGCTGCAGGAGGCCCAGACCCTGGCCAAGGATGCTGCCCTTGTCCTGGACCAGCTGCGGTAAGTGGGCTCACACACTCAGGTGGTCAGCCCCCAAACTTGTCATTGTCCCTTCCTAATCCTCTAAGCAGGTGGTTAGTGGGGGGAAGGAAACCTTAGTGCCTGCACCTAACTTTCCTGGGGCTCCGTCCCCAACAGTACAGACGCAGGCTTGACTAAAAGCAGGCTGGGGATCAGCAAGACCGACCGGTGTGGGGCTTCCAGGGCTGACCACAGGGCTGAGGTGGTTTTCGTTGTCCTGTCTGGGTAGAGGTTGGCAGCAGGGCCTCTTCCACACTAAACTTAGTCATATGTCCGGCAGGGCCTGTCAGGCTGAGCTGTCAGCTCGAGTAAGGCAGGACCAGTCCCCCAGCGACGCTACCCTGAGGCCACCCTTTCTCTCAGCAGGTGAGAAGAGCAGTAGCCTGGCTTTGGACTAGGCCAGGGGTGCCTGGCTGGTACAGTGGCAACCCTGTCCCCAGAACAAGCCCACTTGTGAGAAGAGATGCACTGTCGCACTTAGGGAAGTGGGAGGGCTTGTTGGTGGCTGACTCCACTGTCTTGAAGGCCTCCAGTGGAGTTGGGTGGCTGGGGCCCCCAAGGTTGAGCTCTACCTAGGCCTGCGCCTTAAGTGGCAGTTGTTAAACCTTGTAGCTGTGCACATCCCTGCCTGGGGTGGTCACTCATGCATCAGCAGGGAGTGAGGATATACCTATGGCCAACTTGCCCTTTTGTACCACAGATTCCAAAGGCTGGCCTATTCCCCTGCAGGCCTTGAGTCTCCCTGAGCTGTCAGGGGCCCTGGAAGACTGTGTCCATGAAATGGGTAAGTCTCCAGGAAGGCAGCAGGGCTTTAATCTCACCGTTTCCCAGACCCTCTTCTGAGGACTGAGGCTGAGAGCTGGCCATACCCAGTCAGCTCAGACCCATGGGTAGTCTGACCCCAGGGCCACCTATTCCTAGTGCCCTGAGTTTCCCTTCTCCCTGCTGCTGAGACTTGACACAGAACACTAATTGGCCCTATCCTTAGGGCAGGCACTATGCTCTGTAACACAGAGCCTGGAGAAGCTACAGACGCTGAATGGGAAGAAATGGCGGGAACCGTAGCCAGGAGGGATGGTGAGAGTACCCACATGCCCATGGGCACCCTGGACCACCTAACCTTCCTGTCCCTTCTTACCAGGTTTTTTAAAATTTTCTTTTCTTCAGATTCTGACGTTGGGTGATGGATCCACCCTGAAGTTACATGTGCCATGCAAGACAGGGCAGTGAGCAGATGGCTGCAGCAGCCCAGGGGATGGAAAGCCAGCCCAGGGAGCAGCTTGTGGACAGGAGGACAGGACTTCAGTCCTTGGCAGGGCAGCTTGGGCCAGCCCTGAGGCGGGATGAAAGGCCCGGCACCCGGATAAGTGGGTGGGCAGCTCTGGCCTAGACAAGACTGTGTGAAAAGAGTGTGTCCCCGCACATGCAGGTGCCACACTGAGGTTTGTCTGGTCTTAAAGGTGAGGTCTGGGGTACTTAGAAAATGTTGTTTGTTGGAAAATAAAATTACTTGCAAGTTGGTGGAGGCTCATTTCTGATCATATGACATGTAACCCTGGTCACCAACAGACCCTAGTAACCCATCTATAGTCGCTTCTGATCTCTTCCCCTGCTTGGTGACTGTTCCAAGCCTAAAGTGGGGCTGGCAGACAGCTTTTCCTGAGCTGTGGGAATTTTCTAGTGTAGCAGTGGTTCTGGACAGTCTGTAAGTCGGCCAGCAGTGACATCCTGTCCTGCGGGGTGCTTCCATCTAGGCCACCACGACAAGGGCTGAACTCAAGCTACCAGCCAGACTGGTTATCCTCAGTGCTCAGAGGCTCCACACACCTCAAAGAAAGATGTGGCCATGCCACCCAGAAGCAAACACGAGTACCAGAGGAATGGCTTTATTGTCTTCCTGCTTCCTCAATTCCAGAGTTGAGCCAAAGCCCTCCTGGGGAACCAAGCCATGTGGGGCACAGCCACTCTGCAACCAACCCACAGTTCACACACCAAGAAAGAAAACTCTTAACAGAAATCCAACAACAACCCAAATGAACAACAGCCTATGGCAAGCTGGATCAGGTTCTGGGCTAAGGGAGAGTGATCTACCAAGGGTCACCTCCATTGAATGAAACCTCTGACCAGTCCAGGAGCCATGTACCAACCAAGTGGTTGTTACCTTGGAAAAGTGGGCTCTAGCTGGGCCTCCACCCATCATGAACAGACTCACACAGGACAGTCTGAGCCTTAGGATGGTTGAGAACATCCTCAGCTTAAAAAGCCAGGCCAGGCCACCCCACTGAACAACCTGAGAGGGTAGCGAGGTCCCAGGGACTGCTTGGGACAGTAAAGATGAACAGCTGCCGGCTTGTCCCTTGCAGTCAGAAGGGGAGCAAAACCAAACACACTAGAAGGCACGCTTCTCGGGAATTCCTGGGCCTGTGGGCAAAGACGGCCAAGGGAGGGCAAGAACCCCCACTGGAACCTCCTCAGGATGAGGCCGGGAGCAGCTTTTCTAGGGCCTTCTTCTGTTTCTCTGTGGCCGAGGCCAAGGCCTCAGCCAGCTTTTCCGAAGGCATCATGTTGAGTACCTTAAGGGCAAACAGGAGCTGGTACTTGGCAGTGCTGACGAAGGCATTGCTCAGGAAGTTAGGAAAGCCTCCTACTCGATCCTTCTGTGTGTACAGCGGGACACGTACCAGGCCCAGCACCTGTGGGACAGAGGGCATGGGGTGGGGCTGGGCTCTCCTTAGAGAGGAAGGACCTGGCAGAAAAGCCTGTCCACCACCAGTTTGCCCAAGAGATGGGGAGACCAGGCAGGGTCTGGCCAGGCATCCGAGTAGCAGTCAAGCCTATGCACTCCCTACCCTGTCTGCCACCACCCACCATCCCTGGTCTCACTCCAAACCCCTTAGGCCAGAGAATCCACAGATCCCGAAAGCTTCCACATTACCTCTCAGGAGACAACCCAAACCCTACAACCTAGCCTTTTTGGTCTGTCCTCAATTTCCCAAGCGGGCCCTGACCATCCCTTCTTCCCAGTGATCCCATGCTCCACTCCCAGGATTGACAATGGCAGGCAGCAAGGCAAATGTAAACAACCCCGGACCCAGATCCCAAGTCTCTTCCTACCCAGCGTGGCCAGGGTGGGGACCCTGAGGGGCACTTGTTACCCATCGGTGCCTTCTGTGGTGCCAGAGCCAAACCTCAGGAGTGGGAATGGGGGCGGGCCCCAGGCGGTGGTCCCACCTCCAGGCCGTGGTCCCGTGAGTGCACAGCGCTGATCTCCACAGCATGCAGCTGCTCCAGTGTCAGCTGCCGTGCATACAGATGTGCCACCACGCGTTGTGGACCCTCAGTCAGGTGTGAGCTCAGGTAGTCGGCTTCGGTGAGGCGCAGGCCGCCCAGGCCCAGGCCCAGCACCCGGTTCAAGCCATCCTCCAGCGACCAGAAGCGCCGGTCCACAAACCCCCCAGGGAAGCCCAGCAGCCCGTCGAAGCGCATCTGCATCTGCAAAGCAAGCCGGATCAGGACGCGGGGTCCACAGGGCGTCCCGAGTCTGTCCACCCGTTCGCCCACCCAGTTCCTCACCAGCACTGAGAATCGCATGGGAATACGACCGAAGAGCTGCCCGGGGTTAGCGGCATACAACATGGCGTGGCACGAGTGGCTCCAGCCGGGCCCCAAGCGCATTGCTTCCTCCCGGCTGATCTGCTTCAGCTCCGGAACCGTCGTGGTCGACATCTTGATACGCTCCAGGCCCACCGCCCAAATGAGCATGCGCGACCCCGCCCACGACACACAGGCCCAATCCGCGTGCATCCACGTGCATGGGCCCGCCCCCACCAATCCTGAAAGCCTGGGGCTGAACACAGAGCAGACGGGAGCCCCTGGCGAGAGGGTGGAGTTCGCCACCCTCCAAGCTGCACAGGAGACCTCACCCTCAGACGAGAAAACTACAATTCCCAAGACGCACCGCGTGGAAGCCAGGTCACCAGAGGGAGGTACACTGAGCATTAAGATGTGCCAATCTCCGAGGCCTGGACATCCCTGAGAGGACAGCTGCAAGTTTCAATATCCACCTCATCTCTTAGAGTGCAGATTTTCCCCTGAGCTTCCACCCCGAGCTTGTGGTGCCCTGTGAAACCACGCCTTTAAGCGTCTAAGTGACTCCCTTTGCCCTCCTCTGGCACGTGGCTAGTGCTCAGCAGACATCAGAAGAGCTGGGGTGGATGTTAAGAACTGGGACAACCTGCCCACCTGGAGGCTGAAATCCACCAATTGCTCAGGAGAAGTGAGCTCAATTTCAAGTCCGGCTTCACTCCAGACAGAGCAAACAACAAAACAAATAGCAATGAACCTTTGCCTGTGTTTGGAGGGGGGTACTTGCTGCCCCTCTCACACAAGCAGATGAAGGCGACACCAAAATCTGTCAGGAGCTACCAGAAGCCACTCAGTGTCCTGCCACTACATCAAGGAACAACTGTCTGCCCACGGTGCTGTGCCAGAACAAAGGCACACGCAGAATATTGCTGCATGATTTTATTACTATAAATATACAGTAAAAACAAACAAAAAACTAGCCAATCAGAGTACATCAAATGATAGCACATGTGAATCTGAGACATGAGAGTCTGTAGTCTGTATCCCATCTTTCAAAGTACTGGCACCAGTACCACGGCCAGAGGCCAGGGTTTTGGCAGGTGAGGGGTGGGCATGCACATGCTGATGTGTGTGCATATGTGTGCGTTCAGCAGGAGAGGGCTGATGGATGTTCAGACAGGGCTCTGCTCACTGGCTTACCCAAGTCCAGGCCAGCCACTGCTAAAAAGGAGCAGAGGCAGAGCCAGAGCTCAAGCAAGAGCCTGAGCCTAAAAGGGGGCTCCATGCATTACTACAGGTTGTCACCTGGGTGAGGGGCAGGGCAGCTCCATACCCGCCTACCAGGGTAGCTGCACTGCCTAGGCACCTCTGCCCTGGGGCCACCCATGGGCCCTTTGCCTTAGAGGCTAAGTATCACTGGGACCCTGCTCCTAGGTGGGCTATGACAGGAGTCTTAGACAATAAACCAATGAGAAACGCAAAAGGACATGTAACTGCCAACGGGTTTGCTATGGGAGCTGCTCAGGCTCTTCCCTGGCAGGTGGTGGGCAGTGGCAGTGGCGCCCTGCAAGCGTGACATCTCCATCTTGGAGGCATGTGAGGAAGTGAGTGAAACAGGACCTGTGAGGGGTACTGGATACCAACCACTGCAGATGGCTGTGCTGTTAACACAATCTCACCACCCAGGCCTTGCCCCCAGCTGCCCCAGCTGCCCCAGCTGCCAGAGGTCACTAGTAGGGAGGCTCCAGGGAGGGTCACCCATGGACAGGACATACATAAGGTGACAGCAGCAGCGACAGCCTGGCTGCCTTGGAGGACACACACGGGACAGGTAGACAGGCACCGTTTCCTTCATCAACCGTAACCTGGGTTGCCCACCTTCCAGAACTTCACTCCATGGGTAGATTCTCTTCTGCTGGTTTGCCAAGTGCTTAGAGCATCAACCTGGGCAGCTGGGGAGCCCCTCTAGGGCCTACGGCCCATGGAGAAAGCTGTCCTTCATCTTGTACCACTTACAAATATATCGACCATAGAAAAGGAGGGGGTGGGGGTGGCAACCCACTGTGCAGTTTGATCAAGGTTCACTATAGCCCCTCAAAGCCCAGTGGCCACATCAGGCTTGCAGACAGGAGAGGCCAGGGTCTCACTGGGCTCCAGGGAAGCCTCCTGGCAATTCTGGGGATACTGAGGGCTCTGTGCTGCTGGCTGAGCCAGGCTCTCAGAGTGGGGTCAGCTCAGTAGCTCCAGGCTCAGAACTAGAGCCACTCAGCAGAGGCCAGGGGGAGCTGGTGGTGCCAAGGCTGTGTGGCGTCTCCATGGAGATGGACCATCCTGTAGGGGGGAGCAGAGGAAGGAGGGGTCATGATGGGCTGTTGGTCACATATCTGTTCCCAACAACCCAGAGCCTCACGAGGGCAGGACCACCTAGCACCCTCTAGCTTGTAACCCAGGTACATGCCATCTGGCAGGAATAGTAGATGTGACATCACAGAAGGCTAGGGACCCTTCCGTCCTAGGCAATAAGTTACATCTGTCACCTATACTGGGACAGATCACCGTTCAGCACTGGACAGTATACCTGGGTAGTCTCCTGCCCTGGACTACCATTCCTGGACCTCAGCAGCACAGTCTGGCCAAGGGCTTTGCATGTGGGTTAGCTGGAGTTCAGCCAACTCTAGCACAGGGAAAGTGAGCAGATGGGAACAGAGCAGGTGGGACTTGGGTCACCTGAGCAGGCAGCTCCACCAGAGCAGAAGAGGCCCCCGAGCCCGTCTGTCTTCCAGAGGCCCACTCTGCTTAGTCCCAGATGTCAGCTCTGTGGTGCTGTGTGGTGTCATCCCAGCAGCATCGGTGACACAGACAAACCAGTCCTACCCTCTTTTTTTAAGAGCTGTGGCTTCACGAGAGCCAACTTTATGGTGCAGTCCCCAGCTGTGACCTAAGTTTTAACTGAAGTCCAACCTAAACCCCAACACAGCTGCCCCTTCCTCCTACAGAAGCTATAACTAACAGCCTATTTGTTTCGGGAGCACAGCTCCAGGGGGACAAGCAAGTCCTGGGAAACCACAAACCCCAACAAAACCAAAGAAACCACACCAGGCCTGGCTCCCTGGCTGATGGGAGAGAGCTGCAGCCTAGACCCCAACTGGGCACTTCCCAGATAGGCTGTGTGAACCTGCCACGTGCCATCCTTCTGGGGAACCCTGACACGAAAGGCTATCAGCCCCTCTTTAAGAACTTTAAGAAAGAGTCCCGCCTATAATATAGGCCTAGTCTTTAGGGGTGCTTCTCTAACCAGCAATCTGGGACACCTATGGCTAAGCAGCTACCTATCCAACAGGGCCCCAATCCCATTGGTGCCTAAGACTGTGTGTGTGTGTGTGTGTGTGTGGTGCTGCAGAAGGTTCCAGAGACAAGATGGACAGGTTCTCAGTGACAATGATGGTCTCGAGACAGGAAAGCTCAGCTGTGCATGAGAGAGTTGTATGCCAGATAAGGGAACAGAGGCCACAGTAACAAGTGAAGGGAAGCATGAAGAATGCTCCCTGGACAGGAATCAGGAGAGTTGGTGACAGGGCTCCTCTGTGTAGCCCTGGCTGTCCTGGAACTCTCTGTGTAGACCAGGCTGGCCTGGAACTCAGAGATCTGCCTGCCTCTGCCTCCCAAGTGCTGGGATCAAAGGCGTGTGCCACCACACCTGGCTTTTTTTTTTTTAATGCTTATTTTTATTTTCATTTTATGTATGAGTGTTTTGCCTGCACATATTTCTGTACAGAAGTTGCATGCCTGGTGCCCACAGAGGTTAGATGAGTGTGTCCAATCCCTTGGAACTGGAGTTATAGATGGTTGTGAACTGCCATATGGGTCCTGGGAATTGAACAGGAGTATTCTGGGAGAGCAGCCAGTGCTCTTTAGCCCCACAGGATACAACAGACCCAGGAGAACATACATGTTCCACAGACAGGAGTGTTGATGGGAACAGGTGACCTAGAGTCTCCCATGGCTTGTGCAAATTTCAACAACTGCTTAAAGCCACAACCATAGCTGAGGCAGGAGGAATGTATATTAAAAGCCTATCTGGGCTACAGAATAAGTTCAAGGCCAGCCTAAGGAACTTTGTAAGACCCTATCTCCAGGGATAGAGACCTATAAACAAGGAAAGAGGGCTAGGGATGTAGCCCAGCAGTAGAGTGCCTCCTACCTAAGTTCAATCCCCAGTACTGATTTTTTTTTTTTAAACCACAATGAGACTACTGCATGTAGCCCCCAGGGTGCTGTTCCACACGTTCCTAGGCTCCCTGATCCTCTAACTCCTTCTTCCTACCTGGGATAGCAACTCCAGAAGCCTGGGTTGAGTCACTGTTCGAAGGACCCTACATTATTACTTTGGAAGAGCCTGGATGGGAACCTATCCAGATGGGAGACCCTCTGGCTCCAAAGCCAGGACCCCAGGAGGCCACCTTTCAGACACGAAGGTGCAGTGGCCACCAGTGGGCTCTGGACTCTGAATCCAGAAAGAACCCCCAGGGGATTGGGCTCTTCTCTGTAGATACACCCAGCCAAGGCACCGGAAGTGTGGAGGAGAGGTCACGTACCAGCTTACTCCTCTATACCAACAGAGCAGGACTCGGGACCCAGGGCTGTGCAGAGAGGAGGGAGAGACAGATGGAGCTCAGTTAGCAGAAAGACATGGACTTTAGGGTCAAGGGTGGGAACTACTTAGAAACAGACTGCCCACACATCGGCTGCTGCAACCAAGTAGTAATAAGTACAATCAGGACAGATCCTGGACAACGTTCTAACCAAGAGAGACATGTGTATGTGTGAAGGCAACAGACATAGTTCTTTTTGTGGCTATGGAAGCCAGGCCTCTGGACCAGGGACCTAGCAGAGGCCTACTTTTTCACTGTTTTATGGACTTCCCCCAGCCTTGTTTTTTTCCATCTCCAGGGGACATGTATTCAGTGAATTCAGCTGCATCCAGGGGGTAGTCACTGGTGCCACTGTCAGAAAGTAAAGACACCAGCTGCATGTATGCTTCTCACAAAGATGAAAGCTATGCAGCCTTCTCTGACAAGAGCCAGCAGAAAAGACAGTAGGTGCCGTCATGTAAGGAGAAACATGCAGGTGTGAACAAGGACCGCGCAAGCCCCTCCCCCACTCTCCACCCTCCAGGGCTGACACACATCAATGGTAGCTCCAACAGGAAGTGCAGAGGGAGCAACCTGGCCTGCTGTCACGGAGCAAGGTGTATAATGGGTGGTTATCAGAGAGTGGCTAGGATCCAGGAGCAGTCCCCGCACAAAGCTGGCCAAAGGCAGCTCTTCTCCAGCTGAGCACGCAAATCTAGCTTCTTCAGGTGACTGCCTCCTACCCCCTCAGTGGACGTCAACGAGGACGGAGACCCTTGCCTACAGCTCTCTCTGTGGCCAGTCCTGATGGACTGAGGCCACAGAGGGGATTAAGTATTCTGTGCTGGACAGTAAAGGTGCCTGCCTTCAGGTGACCTGCAGGAGCAAAGCTCATACTGGTGACTCAAGAGACCCAGGGACCTCACCCAACTCCCTGCTTAGCCAAGTTTACAATAAAGATGGGTACTTGAGGTGCTTCCAAGAACACACTGGAATTGTACCCTTTAGGACATGCTGGTTCCAAACATGCTTCACCTATGGGTTTGTTTTGGTTAGGTCATGGTGATCCAGCAAGACGATAGCTTGCTGGATCCATAGCTACCCTCCTGCCACCTGATGACCCCTGTGTTCCCAGTCAGCCTCTAT